CCCCGCATTTCTGTTGCCGCCAGGCACGGGCCGGCCGGGCGGCGATGATGGCCACATGCCTGGAAAGTGCCTGGAACAGGGTCTGCACCCGGCCGCCGTGCTCACCCGCAGGACTCGCTCCATGTAGGCGCCGTAAACGTCAGCCCCCAGGTGCCCCACCGCGCCCGTCCTCAGCCCCAGCCGCGCCGCCGCGATCGTGAAGTTGGTCATGCCGCCGCACTCCCACGCCTCCTGGCCGGGCGGCGCGGCTGTGAGGCGCGCGAGCAGCGCGCGGCGCGCGGCGGCGTCGGGCGGGGGCAGCTGGTCCATGTGTAGGACCTGCGTGGCGGGTTCGGGGGTTGTTGCCTCAGCTGCTTGTCAAAACCCAGACAACTGCCACGCTGGCCTGCGACAGCTTGAGGCCCCGCGCACTGTGCCGCGTCCAAAACTGCGTGCCACTTTCATAGACGCGTAGCTTGAACGTCGGCGCAAAGATGAGCTGGGGCATGCAGTGCAAGTCGCACAACCTAGAGCGTGCCGCCGCTCACCACATCAACGCACAAGTTCCTGTAAGAGGATGCAACAAGGGTGATGGTTGGTGCACCAGGGTTGCTTTCAGCGGCGGCAAGCGGCGGCCGTCGAGTGCAGCAACAGCAAGTGAGCGGGTTTACAGGCGCCGCGCACATGGCCGGATCGCTTTCCGTACAACACGCACCCCAGTCCGATGACGTCCAATCCATTAGCAACTGCCGAAAGCGGCGTCAGGCGTGGTCTTCTGGCGGGACGCTTGGCCAGATCTGTGGTCACGCGTCGATGTGTCCTCGCAAAAGCTGCATGACCTCGCCTTTCAGGCACGGCTCCGGTGGCGCCCGCAGCCAGCATGCTGGCTTGCGTTGATTCCGCTGTTGCTTCCTGAGGACTGCGTGGTGCTTGGTAACACTTTCCTGAATGCTGGTTGGGCCGTGAACGCCAGCAGGAGTGTACATGGTATCATACGTGCTTGGGCCCACCAGGTGTGGCATCACATGCCGACAACCCGCCGCCGTGCAGCTTCCATCATTCTAGTCACGGAGTGTTTCCGTTGCGTCCACCTCCAGAAAGTCGTTGAGGGCAGGTCAGGAGGCGAGCAAGGCGAGCAAGGGGTGCTGAGCGTACAAACCGCATGCACGTGGCTTGCGGCTGCGGCCTGCCGCTCCACGCCGCAGCTGCGCAGCTAGTCGAACGACATGTGGGGCCGCCATCCTCATCAGGCACATGCTACCGCTCAGCGCCACCAAAATGTACCATATGGCAAGGCGTTGAATCCGAAAGGCAGGCGGAAGCCATGTGCGGCGCTAGTGTCTGCGGGTGGTTTGGAGCTGTGCCGGGGTGGCGGTTTGCCGTGTGCCTCATGAAACAGCCACTAAAGCTCTGTCGGCGCGTGCAGTGTTGATACCACCCAGCTCTGCACAATCAATGGCTTGCTTGCTTGCCACGTTCCAGAACGCGCCAACAGAAGAATGTACGGTAGTGCAGCAAGTATCTTTCACGCACTCTGGGGTGTGTTTCAAGTGATACATACTGCGCAGCGGTCAAGATGCAGAGACCTCACACACATGGGTAGCCGTTCCCTGCTGGTGATTGACCTTGCGTAGCGCAGATGATGGCTGAGTTGCTGCACACCAGCAATCGCACACAGCAGGCGGGGCGCACGCAACATAAGTTGACAATTCGACAAGAGCCAGGGCGCTTTGTGGAAGGCACAGGCATGGTCGTGATCCGTTCAGAGCGCCTGCAGGCCCCAGTGCACGGTAAGCGGTGGGTAGCGCAACTTGTGCCCAGCCTGGGCCGGGCACATTGAGAAGCGAACGCACTGCAGGCGCCGTTGCCTACACATGCGGCTATTGCCTGCAACCGCACGGCTGATGACGAGAGCCTCAGGGCATGCAGACTGAGCCACCTGTTGTTAGAATCTGAAAGTGATTATTCATATATACATACCCCATTCAATGCTTCCCATTTGAATATGGAATCTTGTACTGCCTCGTGCGTCAGCAAGCTGGTTCAGCAACACGTCCTGTTGTGCCCCGTTGCGTTTTGACCGCTGTGCATTAATGCGTCGCTTTTGTGTGGACCGCGGTTACACGACTTCCCACCGCTCCAAATAACCGGAGTTGGTGAGCTCCAACTCCCGGCTGCTGCTGCGCCCGCTGGCTCGCAGGTAGGCTGCGACGGCCATCGCGTCGTGCGTGTTGGCGATCAGCGCGCGCTGAGAGGCGAGCGCCCCCAGGCCCCAAAGCGTCGCGGGCCCAACAATCTGCACTGTGAATTCGACGCCGCTGCCCCCGCTGGTCGACGACGCACCCTCAGAAAGCTCAAAGTCGAGGCAGTAACCCTGCGCTTTGAAGATCTCGAGGATCGATCTGACCCCATCGAGCAGCTCCCCAGTCGCCGCCCCCGGCCGCGCAGGCGCCGGGGCCCCAAACTGCTCGCCGCGGAAGCCGTTAACCAAGCCGTCGTAAATCCGGTCGCCCGCGGCCTCGAAAAAGAAATCTGGCAGGGCCGCGTCGTCCTCAAAACGCGCCGGCCGCCGCACGACGCGCGTGAGCGTCTCAGAGCACGCCGACTCGTCGTCGTCGGGGCCGAGGCTCTCGCAGGAGTAACGCTCCTCAAAGACGCGCTGCGGCGCGCGCATGGATCTGGGGGGTTGCGACGGTCACGGCACAGAGTTGTTGGGGAGCAGCAGCTCCATTGCGTTGGGAGCACGGGGCGGAGGAGACGCTTGCGGCGGCAGGCTCCCCACCAGAAACGAGCCATGGTGACGGCGGTCCCTCCCCCCCATGCTGCGGGCAGGGCAGCAGACGCTTGGAGCAGAGGCGGCCGCAAGATCGCTGACAAGGCCAGAGATCTTGCGTCCGCCTGCACTCCAAGCGTCCTGACGAGGCCAGCGAACAGCAAGTGGCGAATGGTGATGGGGCGTGGGCCATGCCCGTTCCGGGCGTACAGCCCTTCCTGGACCGCTACTTGCGCGCACCTGCTGATTGTTGCGTACTGGGAATACTGGGGCCGGGCGATACAAAAACCAGGGAAGAGCCGGGTGATTGGTGAGCACCGGCGGCGGCCTTGTTCGGTTGCAGGCGCTCGCGCCGAGCCGAGCACGGGGGGCAGCGCACGCGGCGGCGGCACCCGCCAGGCCGCGCGCCGCCGCACCGCGCCTCCCCTTGACGTATGTCCAGGCTGCTGCAGCCCCGCTGAAGGTGCCGACACGCACATGCCCGCCTCCAAACATCCAATCACAGGGTTGGCCCCCAGCACCCAAGGGGCAGTGCTCACGGAAATGAAATCGAAGTACAGGGGGTCGGTCAGGTCGCCGGCCCTGAAGGTGAGGGGCTTGTACTGCAGCGCGTACTGCTCCACCTCGGACTGGCGGTACTTCCAGAACGCTACCTGCGGTAAAGGCCACGCGCGTAAGATTGGTCAAGAAGTGGCCGCACAGCGGGTGCAGGGGGGGCGGGTGATGTCGCAGGGGTGCTCCTGCTGGTTCCAATCAGCTGCTCACTTTCGAGGATTGCTGGCAGTACACAGCCACACTTGGAGTCCGCAGTGCCGTTGCCAGCGCGCGGGTCCGCGCCTGCTCAGCTGCCACGCTCGCGTGTGGTGTGTGCTGGAACACCAGCGCCCTGCCCCTGCGCTCCCACCTGGAACTTCTCCATGCTCATGAAATCCAGGTCGTCGCATGCATCGTAGGAGCTGGCATGCGAACAGGGAGAACAGCGGAAAGCGCAGTGTATTGGCGGGTACAACCGTGCGTTGGGATTTCCTACGTGCGCTGCAGGGACGCGCCATCTTGAGAGAGCTTGCCTCTTCCTGTAGCAGTCCTCGGGGCACGCAGGCGACTGGCCTGCTTGGCGAGACAAGTGCGGCTCACAGTGTGTGTTTGTGTGCGCGTGCGCATGTGTGTGTGTGTGTGTGTGTGTCATGCGTGTAAGCATGCGTGCCTCACCTGCGCATCAGGAGCACCGCGAAGCGGAGGTCAAGGGACTTCCGCGGGAAGCCGACTGGCGTCGGCCCGCCCAGGGGCATCGGCAGCGGGACAGGCAGCATGCCCCCGATTCGGCCCGCGAGGCCGGGGGCGGGCGGCGGGGCGACGGACGCAGCTGCTGCAGGGCTGAGCACGGCCGCGGCTGCAAACAGCAGAGCGGCGCGTCGTCCTGCACAGGAGACGGCGTCTGCCGCGCTCGGCCACGCCCCTGCTGCAGCTGGGTCGGCAGCTGGGAGGGGGCCCAGTTGCCTGCATGCGCACGTGTTGGTGCGGTGTAGTGAGACAGATCTGCTGCGTGGACACTCCAGCAGGTCAATGCATCCTAGACACTGGCAAGCAGCATGCGAAGGTGGACGCCAACCTTGTGGCATCCTTGTGCGCTGCTGCACACATCGGGTGACGTGTGTGGTGCCGCCGTAGCAAATGTAGACTGCTGCACCGCTGAGACGCAGATTCGCTTCCATGAAACCCATTCTTGTGGGCGCTGTGCTGCTGCATGGTGCCGTGCGCGTTTGTGAAGACAAGGCACGATCCGCTGATCAACCGGGACTGCAACAATGGCCGGCGATGCAACGGGCTAGAAGTTCATCAACATGTATTCTCCGTGTGTATAGAAATAGAGCAGGTCGAGCTGCTATGCAGGACAGCATCAAATTTGCGTCTGGTGCAGCGCCTGCGCTTGCGGCAGTGGAGTGCGCGCTCGGTTGATGCTCCGCACCTGACCTACATTTCGCTGGCTTATACATGTGCTCGCCAGCCGTTTGACGCATGATTGCTGGCTGCACGTATGCCCATCAGCCCCTCCATACATACTGCTGCTTGCAAAGGCGAGCGCGCGACCTGCAGCAGGGAAGCTCAGCCACCCAGGCAATGCAGACTTCCACTCGGCACATGGCGCACGTGATCGATCCTTTGCGCTGTGCGAAAGCAGTTCCCTGCAGGGATGGGTCGCTGGTCGTTCATCCACAGCAAGCAAAGAATCAGCCGCTGTGGCCGGCGACCTGCAGCACTTTGCTTGTTGCGCCCGCCGAGTGTGGGCGGCGACCCGCATCCATCAATGTAGCGTGTCACATGGGCAGTTGTGCCGCATGCCGGTGCCCGCAGCCGCTGCTGGGGGTGGTGCCAGAGGTCCATGCCCTGGCAAAAAAAATCTGTTTGTAAACATGTGCATGAATGCGCAGCGCTGCGTGCTTATCAATCGCAAGAATCCGAGCCAGCATGCGTCGTTGCGGGCCCACCCCCCAAGGGGCACCCTGGGCTCTCCCCCAACCCCTCTTTCGGGACCAACGTATTGCGTGTCGCTGATGTAATTGCACCGATCAAGGGTAGCTTCAAGGTTGCCACCGTGATGCGACATGAGCATGAATCCAGGGGCCCGGATTTGGGGGGGTGGGGGAGATCTGGCCCTGCCCACGGGATGTGGTCATCACTCATTCCCGCGCCTTACGTCGCCGCTATCTGCCCACTGGCGCGCGCCTGCGCTTGAACCCTGCCCGCCCCCGATACAATGAATACAGCCGCAATTTCATTTCATCCCACCACCAGGCCATCATTGATCATCTCCACCCCACCCCAGCAACCTCCACCCAGCCATCATGGCTTTCTCGCTTGCCTCCAAGCCCGCCCTGCGCGCGTCGGCGCGCGCCACCGGCAAGAAGGTGGGTGTGCTGCACCCGAGTCACATGTTTTCGCTCCTCGCTTGTGCGAGCCCGGCGCCCTACATATTCGGAACTGCGGAACTAGACCGGCACGCTAACGGATCTTGCCCTTGCTCGCGCAGGCCACCTCCCGCCCCGTGCAGGCCAAGGCCGCCATCGAGTGGTACGGCCCTGACAGGCCCAAGTTCCTCGGTGAGCTCCACATGCCAAGATCACGCGGGAGGAGCGACTGGACCGATGATCGGCGGGTCACAGCGGTCGATGGCATTTTATATGGATTATGAATTGCACAGCCCAGCCAGCAGCAGGGCCTGTGCCAAAGGCGGGGACGTTGCCCATCAGTGTGGCACCACTGCATGATGTGAACAGCAGCTGCACTGCACTGCAGAGCGCTGTCACAGTGGTGCCCCACCCACTGTGCTGCCCCTGCAGACCTGCACCTGCTGCAGTGGGCAACCCTTTCTCAGGCCCCTCTGATCGACGCCTGCATCTGCCCAAACACCCAACACCCCAGGCCCGTTCTCTGAGGGCGACACCCCCGCCTACCTGACCGGCGAGTTCCCCGGTGACTACGGCTGGGACACCGCCGGCCTGTCGGCCGACCCCGCCACCTTTGCCCGCTTCAGGTGGGCGCCGCAGCAGCAGTGGTGGACAATTGGGCGAACAGTGCTGCCAGTGTGTACACCGGCCGCATTAGTGCTTGAGCGCCGGCAGCGCACGTGGAAGCTGCGGGTCTAAGGCGTTGTCCTTGTTGCCTGCTTGCCCATCTGTCCACCTTCCCGCCTGGAAACTGCAGGGAGATCGAGCTCATCCACGCTCGCTGGGGCCTGCTGGGCGCTCTGGGCATCGTGACCCCGGAGCTGCTGGCCAAGAACGGCGTGGCTGACATCCCCGCCGACGGCGTGTGGTTCAGGGTGCGCTGCAGCCTCAGTTGATTGAACAATTGCATCGGCTGATCGGTGCAGCAGTGCTGCATGATGTTCTTCTCCTGCTCCACAACGCTTCACGCGTAGTCAGCGCTGAACTCAGTATTATCTTGTCACCTGGCCCCCGGCAGGCTGGTGCGTCCATCTTCCAGGAGGGCGGCCTTAACTACCTGGGCAACCCCAACCTGATCCACGCCCAGTCCATCCTGGCCACCCTGGCCGTCCAGGTGTGAGGCGCGCACTGGGGGTGCTGTGGGTTGCGATTGTCGGCACTGCAATGGAACCTGAGCCTTGAAATGACATGTCAGAACAGAAATTGCTGAGCAGCCGCAGCTGTGCCCACCCTGTGGCGTCTTTCTGTGCTCCTGACATACCGTGTACTTTTGCCTACCACGCAGCTTGTGCTGGTGGGGGGTGCTGAGGTGTACCGCTTCAACGGCCAGGCGCCCGGCGGCTTCGGCGAGGGCCTGGACACCCTCTACCCCGGCGAGGCCTTTGACCCCCTGGGCCTGGCTGATGACCCCGACACCCTGGCCGAGCTCAAGGTCAAGGAGATCAAGAACGGCCGCCTGGCCCTGTTCTCCAACCTCGGCTGTGAGTGGCTGGGAGCATCATTGTGCCTATGCGCTTGGTTCTGGGTAAATTGATCTGTGTGGGTTGGAGTACTGAAAACTGATTCTGGGCAGATTGCTCATCTGTGCGGGGCCCGGGAAGTGCCCCACACAGCCTCTGAATCTGCGAGCCTGCTCCTCCTCATCCTCCACCACCTGCACCAACCCTGTACGCAGTCTTTGTGCAGGCGATCGTGACCGGCAAGGGCCCCATCCAGAACCTGGAGGACCACCTGGCTGACCCCTCCGTCAACAACGCCTGGTGAGGCCTGGGAGGGAGGGGGAAGTGGGCAGCACGCACATGATGTGTGTGTGCACAAAGATAATGCAGTGAATCTGTTCGCGATGCTGTTGTCAGGTGCACGAAGTGGTGCTGTTGTAGGGTGACCCCAACTGACCAAAAACCGCTCATGTATTGACTGCAGGGCCTACGCCCAGAAGTACCTGCCGGCCCCCTGAAAAGCTGCGCAGCGCTGCAACCTTGCGCCGCGTGCTTGTGCCTCGACTTGACATGGTGCAATAGCCGTTGTCGCGCTCTGAGGCTGTTTTGAGTGATGTTTGCCGCCGATTGTTTGGGTGGCTTAGTGTATAAATGGAGATGTACACTTAAGTGATGTATACCGAGAGTGTAACTACACAACGCTCATGTGGCTGAATGGGTATGCAGACATGCATGCCCCTTACTTGTGAGAGA